ACAACATTTGATAGGGCAAATCAAGTTGTATCTAGGACACAAATGGAGCATTTGAAACGTGCTTCTAAACGAATTTCGGCTAATTTTACAATATAAGTATCATCGCTACATACTATAGGAGACATCTTTTAATAGTTTTTCACGCGTTATCTACAGTATAGTTTGTGGTTGCGACCATCGCAATCTACGAAAGCATGGAGCCTATTAAACACTTCTTTGAACACGAATGGGACATCTACAAACATCTTCCTTCATAGATATTAGCTGATTTTACTGTATCAGCGACAAAGTCATGTATAATGAGGTCCATGTTTGGCATTTCTGCGTACACGGTTCGCGGTATTAAACAGCTCACTACACCATCGTATACAGACGTGTGAGCTCTTCTAAGCACATAAATGGAACATCTTGAACATGTTGCTCGAAGAATCTTGGCAGTTTCACCATATAGACTCCAAGTATTCTCTACTAATATAGAAGTATTTCTGAATTTTCTCGGAGTGGTTCGAGCTATCGCGAAACTGGTTATACTATTCGTTTGAGGTCATCCAGTGTTACTTCGAAAACAAACAAACCATCTGGAATATCTTCACCGCAAAACTTTGCACGGTTTCATGTTCCAAAACTAAACATTCCTGCACTGACGCAACAGTATTTTTGAATTTTCAGAGACTTAGCTTGAGCTACAGAAAATGTGAATGCACCATTGCCAAGAACTCATCGCATTGTACTTGGAACATAAGTGGAACAACTGGGACATCATTCTGGAAGAATCTTGGCTACTTTTACTGTCCACAAACATCGATTCCTGCGCTCACAAGCTAGAAATTTTGGGTTCTCGGCAGCGCAATTCGACCTATAGAAATTTCGAATGCATTATGAGATAGAACTCATCGAATTGCACTTGGAACATAAGTAGGACAACTGGAACAACATCCTGGAAGAATCTTGGCTCCTTTTACTGTCCACAATCATCAGTGTCTTCGCAAACACACTAGTATGTTTAGATTTTCTCAGCCTAGTTTCAGCTATCGCGTATATGATTACATCTTTGAACAGAGCTCATCGAGTAGTACTCGGCATCTGATTGAAACATGTAGAACCTATTCCTCGGAGGGTGTTGGCGGTTTTCACTATCCAGAACGAAAGAATCACTCTGCTGACACACCAGGATTTTCGCATCTTCTCAGACGCATTTTGACATATAGAGTATCGATGCACACCATTCGATAAAACTCTTCGAATTGTACTTGTAACACCAATGGAACATTTGAAACACGCTCGTTGACGAATTTTGGCAGATTTTACCATAGAGAGCACCAAACTCTTGCATTCATCCAGCAATATTTTTAAATTTCCTGGCACACGGTTACAGCTACCGAAGATCTGATTATATCCTTCGATAGAGCTCATCGAGTTGTACTTGGAACACTAATGGAACATTTGGAACATGTTCCTGGACGAATCTTGGCAGGTTTTACTGCATAAAATCCAAGTTTTTTGTGGTGATACACTAGTATTTTTAAATTTTCTCAGACTCAGTTTGAGTTATGGAAAATCTGAACATGCCATTCGATAGAGCGCGTCAAGATGTACTTGGAACATGCTCCTGAGCGAATCTTGGCAGGTTTTAGTAGATGGCTGCAAAATCGTCCATGGTGAAAATCCAGTATTTTCTGGTTTTCTTGGACTTGGTTTGAGCTATCGTGAAGTGGAATACATCATTCGATAGAGCTCATCGAGTTGTACTTGGAACACACCCTGGGACAGTTGGAACATGTTTCTGGGCGAATCTTGGCTGGATTTACTCGAATCTGGTGCTAACTGCACCTACGTTGACATAGATATTATGCATATCATTACACGCCATCTTTCGATAGACTATAAATTTTAATATTTAAAATTTTTCAATAACTCTATAAGATTTTCAATAAAGTATCTAAAAATTACCTTTATAAAATAATTTTATTTTCAAATTTGAAATTGTATTTTTAAAATTGAAACTTTCTTAAGACACATAAGATAGGCTATGTTCACACTAGAGAAGTGATTTAAATTAATTTCGTTTCAAGACAACAGTCGTCCACACTAAGCGATTAAATCACCAATGAAAGTGCGGAGAATACCTCTTTCATGTCGGCAAAATGCATAATATGAAAATATAATTCATTTAAAGATGTCGTTCTCGTATGTGCATTATTTTTAGTAGGATTATTAAATACATTTTCAGAATTATAAAGTTAATTGAAGGGATTTCTACCAGCAATCAGTCTGATCATTTTCTAGAGGAACAGTCATATCTTAAAGATCAGTAGTTGTGCAAGCCTTTTTCAAAAACATTGCAAACAAAAAGCAATCATTTAGAAGAAATATTTCATCAATTATTTATTTTTAATAAGTAGAAAAAAAGAGATTCTTTAACAACTTTTATACAAAAAAAAGATAATAATAATTTATGACAATAAAGAGAGCAGTGTTTTAT